TTGGACAGTCTTTGGGTTGATGGATGCTGCCTAGATACTTGAACATAATTCTTGTCTATTTCTTAACCCTCTGATGCGTAAGTGGGTCCTTTTTGACCCGGTGAGGTCATCTTTTTGCAATATCTTTGTAATGAAAAATTTTCACCACTTCATATTCCAGGTATTCCTCAAGAAACATGTTACTGATATCATGCAATTACATTTTNTAATTTACCTTTTATACATTTTAAGAAATAGCATGTTTTATGTTACTACCCCATTCTTCTGTGAGTGGGTCCAAAATGACCCGCATTCATTTCCTATGGAATTTAATGGGAATCTTTGTTTCTTACCAACTGTGACTGTCAGGAAAACATTTTTTTGTGAACCAAACACATTGAGACCTAAGTGTCACCCCTGAGTAATAATATTTTACACAGCAAGAACTCTTACATATAAGTATTATATTTATTTTTTATCTCACCTCATCTCTTTGTGTGTGTCAATAATGAGTACTGTGACAGCGTTAATGTCACAAATCAACATATTAGCCTTCTTCAAGTTAGCCAACACTAGTTATCTAACCAACTAGCTAACATTACCACCTATACTTTATTGTGCATGTGTATTATTTGTGTGTGTGTGTCTCTTTGTGTGTCTGACACCCTGGATGAGAAAACCAAGAGAGAGAATGTGTTGAATGACATGCAGAACCTGTTGATCAATGTGTTCAAGGTTCTTTCTTTTATCATCTCAATAAATAAAATTAAAATTCATAGCTATTGAAATAAATGCATAAATAAATGAGCCAGAAAAGTATAGAAGTGCCTTCTTTGGGTCGGGGAGGATGTCCTGCCCCAAGTGGAGGAGTTCAAGTATCTCAGGATCTTGCTCACCAGTGAGGGAAAATTGGAGCAGGAGATCGACAGGCGGATTGGGGCAGTTCTGCAGTGAAGCGAGCGCTGTACCGATCTGTCGTGGTGGAGAGAGAGCTGAGCCAAAAAGCGAAGCCCTTGATTTACTGGTTGATCTAAGTTCCTACCCTCGTCTATGGTCATGAGCTTCGGGTCAT